GCCTAAAACTTTTTTTTTTTTTTTTGTTAGAGAAATTTCTGGAAGACCTGACATAGTTGTGTGGCTTTTCAGAATGTTCTCACTACAATCTTCTTTTCTTATGTTGGGTTAGGAGACTCCTGGTCACAAATTATTTGTACCTGTCCACAGGTGATGGACTATCAGCTCCCACATTCACAACAGGCCCTCCTGGCCTTCATGCCACACTCATGACAGAAGGTAATGTCTCCTTGTAACTTGGCTAGCATTGCGCTGAGTGTTTGCTGAGCATCTCCTATATGCATGAGCGGTTAGATTCTTTCACAATATTGTTACTCTTCAATAACCATAGATCACAGAAATGTCAGAAAAAGAATTCAGAATATTCATTGTAACAATAACCATAGGAGCCAGCAGGGGGCGTGATAGTTAAGGCGCTTCACACACCCACATGGCTGACCATGGTTTGAGTCATCAACCTGGTGGCTTGCTTCTCACCTTCTCTCTCTTTGTGTCTCTCTCTGTCAAATCAAAATAAATGAATGAATAAATAAAAAATTAAATAATTATTTTTTAAAAATACCCATAAAGGAAGATTTTATTTCCAAAATTTCACTCATTAATAAACAGAGCTTCAGTCCATACATATGAACAGGTGATACTGATCAAATGACTAGAGTCACCCAACCAGTATATGTAAAAGGCAGGATTCACTCAGACCCATCTGTCTATAAGATTATTGGATTTACTATGTTCTTCCTGGTGATATGGATCAAAGCTTCCTTAGAGGTACTAGAAAATAAAAGTATAAACAGCTATTAATTGCTCATAACTATTTGAAGCCCAGCCTGGTGATAGTCAGTAGCATACTAAACTGCAGTGCTGAAAGCCACATGCTGGTGCCTCAGATCCTCAACCTGCTTGATCTGGAACATTCCAGATGCATGCATTCTCCATCATGAGGGAAAAAAAATTATAAAGGACTATTTGAGAACATCATATGAAAATGTTAAAAATTAAGTTATTATTAGGCTATCTGCAGCAAAAACTTATAATAAAAGACTTGAAAGATAAAAACTATTACTATTATTTACCCTCCCTGCTCCAATTGAACAAAATTTTCTCTTTAGCTGTACCTAGGCCCTCTCATTAGCACATAAGCTCTTCATGTAGCCACTGACAGACTATTTCCTTGAATAGTTTATTTTTTGTTTGTTTGTTTTAGAGACGTTTTTGCTATGGGATATATGCTCATGCCAGAGAAACAGAGGAGGAATGATCATGCCACAATCCCCTCTCCTCCATTTTCCTCTCCAGATTCCAGGCACGTGTGCCCAGAGCGAGATTTAAACTGCCAGACTTGGGACTGAAACCATGATCTACTATGCAGGTGTTCAATAATGTTACTATTACGCCATCTGCTGGTCTTCCCTGAATATTTTTTAGTACAATCTTAGTAATGTCTGATATCCAAGAAGGATGTCATTTCCATTTACAGTTGAGTAAACTGATGTTTATTTATAGTAAAAGGTGGAATTACTGGGTTATGGGAAAAGTCATGATGCATTTTTGCATAGAAAAATGAACCATGACTTTTCTGACGACCTAATAGAAGCAAGCTTTGGAATCGAGAAATCTTGTCTTCACACTGAGGGTTCCTGTGTCCTTCTGGAATGGGACCCCTCAATCACATACCCCAAACAAGGCTACAGACGTATTTTTAAAAATAAACGGGGAACCAGCATTTAGCATAATGGTTATGTCACTGGACTCCCATGTAGCCCACTGCAGTTCGAGTCCCAGGCCTGGTGGCTTAAAACTCATGCCGGGGCCCTGTGGGTGCCCAAAATCCCAAGAGGAGAATGGAGGAGAAGGGATTGTAGCACCACCATTCCCTCTGGAGGGTGATTTCTAACTTTCTGTCTCTGTCTCTCTCTATCTTTCTGGCAAGCGCACACACCCTATAGCGAAAAGCTCTCCTAAATAAATAAATAAACAAACCTCTATTGTTATAGTCAGTTGGAACGCTATCCATTTAAACTGGCTTTTTATTATCAATGGGGTCTTCTCCTTTGCCTCTAACTGCTGAAATGACATTCTAGAGACCATCTCTCCTATAGGGTCATTACCTGTTCATCGGCAAATGGGGAAACAAACGAACAAACAAAACATTTAAAGAGACACAAAAATAAAAATGTTCTGTTGCTGATAATGTGTGTGGTAATATCTCTGACTTGACTAATATACAATGCATTCATCCTGGGAAAACCATGTTGTACACTGTAAAGACTACAATGATTAAATGTAAGTTTTATATATATATACACACACACACACATATATATATGCACATATATAAAATATATTTTCAAATAAAAATAAATCAAATGACCTGGGAATGTCCATTCCAGCCCTGGTGGTTAACTTGTAAGAGACAAGTTCTGCCTGTTAGAATAAATAGAAAAACCACATAAAATTAAGAAAGCTACAAAAAAAATTTCATTTACCATAGGTGATCTAAAGCCAGAATTTCTGAAAAAGTGAATTACCCTCATTGACCCATTCAAGAGATTTTCCTAACTTCAAACACTAGATCGTCAGCATTCCTCCTCTTTGTGCATCCCAGGAGCCTGGATGGAGTTGAGGCTGCTGAATGGCACTGGGAGGTGCTCAGGACGTGTGGAGGTTCTCATCCAGGACACGTGGGGGACCGTGTGTGATGACCTCTGGGACCTGGCCGAGGCCTCCGTCGTGTGCCGCCAGCTGCAGTGTGGCCAGGCAGTGGCAGCCCCTACAGGGGCGCACTTTGGGCCAGGCTCCGGGAAGATCCTGATGGATGACGTGCAGTGTGTGGGCACCGAGAGCCACCTGGGGCAGTGTGTGCACAGGGACCAGGCTGGGCAAAACTGCGGGCACCTGGAGGACGCCTCTGTCATCTGCACAGGTGAGGGGCTGTCACCTCCCAGGATGTCCCTGCTTTTGTGTCTTTTCAAGCACATTCAATCAGCTTTCTCTGAAATCATCGATCAGTTTGTTATTTATATTAAAGTGTTCTTTCAATTATCAGGTGCTGATGGTTCTCCAGCCTCTGTCCCCACCACTGAACCTGAGGCTACTACCTTGGTTCACACACTCCCAGGTTGGTCAGATCTTATTTTCTGAAACGGTTAGCAATTCCTCACCCTACCCAGAGGCACTGATAACTAAGCACTATCAGAAGGTCAAGAAAGGTGGAGGTGAGGAGTTGGATGAATAAGACCCATGTTTCATCACTGGGCATTCTCAAAAAATTGCTTGTCTGCAATAACTATCTTTAGAAAATTCTTGTCGTATTCAGCTAATTTATAAAACCAGAAATAACAAAAGAAGTTAAACAGAAACCAGATAATGAAACGGATACTTTATATAGACAAAGAAAGGTAAACTATCTGCCTGTGGATTCACATATTGGGAGCACTGACACCTTCCTTATGAACTCTGCTTTAATTCCACAACCTCAGAGGTAGCAAAACTGCGGGATGAGGACGGCAAGTGAATTCTCCAGAGAAAGAGAAGACAGGAAACAGGAGCAGGAAGGAGGAAGAAAGATTTTCCCTTCCATGTGTGCTTCTATCAGGAAGACAGGAATGCTGATTTCCTTAAATGTGTGTTCAAATGACTCCAGAAGGATAGAAAGCCCTGGTTGGTGGCATTCACAGAGAGGTCTCCCATGGCAGAGCACCGAGACCCTCTTCTCGTAAATAAATTTTTAAAAAGTCAGACTAATAAGTTGTTCGCTTGTCTGCCCTCACAACCAACCAACCAGTTTGATAAACTACTGTTTGAGAGTCCTTATTGCTATTCTGATCAAGTTGACCCCATTCTCAAGAGCCCTAGATAGTTTGCTTAAAGTTTATGAGACAAAAAAAGACAGGAGAGAAAATGTGGTGTTTTTAATTCCTATGTAAGTCTTATAGTCCTCACACTGACATAAAACATAGATAAATTTACAAACATGTAGTTGAAAATCGAATTTAATGGTTGTTTTTTTTTTTGAGACTTTTCAAATGACTCCAGAAGGATAGAAAGCCCTGGTTGGTGGCATTCACAGAGAGGTCTCCCATGGCAGAGCACCGAGACCCTCTTCTCGTAAATAAATTTTTAAAAAGTCAGACTAATAAGTTGTTCGCTTGTCTGCCCTCACAACCAACCAACCAGTTTGATAAACTACTGTTTGAGAGTCCTTATTGCTATTCTGATCAAGTTGACCCCATTCTCAAGAGCCCTAGATAGTTTGCTTAAAGTTTATGAGACAAAAAAAGACAGGAGAGAAAATGTGGTGTTTTTAATTCCTATGTAAGTCTTATAGTCCTCACACTGACATAAAACATAGATAAATTTACAAACATGTAGTTGAAAATCGAATTTAATGGTTGTTTTTTTTTTTGGAGACTTTTGCTATAGGGTGTATGCACTCACTGGAGGAACAGAGAGACAGAAAGAGAAAAATCACCCCCTAAAGGGGATGGCCATGCCACAGTCCCTTTTCCTCCATTCTCTTCTCAGGATTTTGGACATGCATGGACAGGTGCCTGGAGTGAGTTTTAAGCTGCTTGGTCCAGGACTCCAACCACAGTCAACTATATGGGAGTCCAGCAATGTAACTATTATACCTTCTGCTGGTCCCTGAGAGCTTAATGGTTTAACTGAATGTAGTGACTCCATGAGGAAAGAAATGTACTTTTTAAGGAAAAAGAAAAAGACAAAACTGACATATTATCAGAGAAATCCCATAATTGGTTATATAGGCATTAAAAAAATTAAATATGCTGGGACCAGAAGGTGGCATGGGGTTAAGGTTCTGGACTCATAGTTGACCACAGTTCAAGTCCTGGACCTGGCACTTTGAAAATCATGATGGATGTGTGTGTGTGTGTGCCTGCCCAAAAAGACAGTGAAGGAAAAGGGATTGTGGTAGGACCATCCCCTCTGGGGGGGTGGGTGGATGATCTCTCACTCACTTTCTCTCCCACTGGCTCCCTCTGTCTCTTTCTGGAGAGCACATGTGCCCTATGGCAAACCTCTCCCCAGAAAACTAGAATATACTCATGAAAGAGACTCTTCTCAAGGTAACTAGACATTTTTCTATCTCTACGAGTTCTGAAAAGTGGTGGGTGGGAGGTTTTTTGTTTTTTGTTTTTTTGCTGGTTGTTTTGCCTTTGGAGGAGAAAAGATTTGACAGATAGGTCTTAACCTACCCTCCCAATAATTCCTGTTTTCACATTTTCCTTTCCTTTGTGAGTTTTGGAAACATCTGCCCAAGAGAGACGTGCTTGCTTTTGCAATTCACAGGTGGAGGTCTATCAGCAACCCCACCCACAACACAATCTCTCCTCCATCCTTCCACAAACACACCAGCAGCTAAGTCCTGGCTGAAATTTGATGCATATTTGCACTGACAGAGAAATGAAAGGGAGCTATGTTTCTACCATATGCCACACACATCCCTAGGTGCTTAAACAGTGTCAGTACCTGAAACAAGCCAGAGAATAAGGGCTGTTCTCTTCTAACGGACTAATACACACTTCAGAAGTCACAAAGCTGATCTGTCTGCTTTGAGGAATAAGCTTTTACCTCTGTCTTTTTGTTGTTTGTTTTTTTCCCCCTAGAAATTTTTTTCCTAACTAAAATCACTCTAGGGCCATAAGAATAAAGATTTAGCAAGCATTCATTCCTATTTGATCTGTTTGCTCTTTTTTTCTTTTTTCCTCT